ATTACCTGTGTCTCATTTTTCAGCTCTCAAAAGACCAAGAGTATTATATGATTTTCATTGTTTTCTTCTTATATTATCTTTTTTTTTTTTTTTGTCAAATACAATCACACACTTATTTACTAATTCATTAATTATCCAAAGGACATTAAGTGTTTACTTTTTTACAGAGCTAGGAGGAGGTGCTTTAATATAAATTTTTATTATACGATCGCATGCGGTTTGACATTTTACATGCATATTTTCTACACACACACACACACACACACACACAGAGACACACATACACACATATATATATATAAAACTCTCTCTCTCCCTGTGCTTGCGCGCGCGCGTACGATACGACTGCGCACGCACAGTGTTTACCACACTGCTACACGCTACACAGCACATGCACATATCTTCTCAATAGAGAATATAATTGCCTTTTGTCCTTTAAATATATATATATATATATATATATATATATATATATATTTATATATATATATAAACACATACATACACGTACACACACATATTTATCTTCTATCTATCTATCTATCTTTCTATCTATTTACTTATCTATATCTATCTATGCCTATGTATTTATATAATATATATATATATATTATATATTATATTTCTATTTCTTGATGTGTTATTTTTTTCTTTTTAATTTTTCGTAATTATGTGTGCGCTACGAGCGAATATAGTAGGTATTTAATAAATGAATTTCTCTTATAATTTTCTCATCTCTAACGATATCGAATTCGCTTGTGTATTATCATTCGTAACGTAATTTAATAGAATCGATCGGATCGAAACGATGGATCGACGTATATACATATATAGGACGTCTATGTACCCGCGTAATAGATATCGATTAACGTCTCCCGGTCACTGATCGGTCGATCCTACGTTTCTCTTCGTTCTAACTCTTCGATATTTAGCTCTTCCTCTTCGCGTTCTCTCTTTTCGTTTGCGAACGTCTATCGGAATGGAAATCAGTGGTAGTAGATTAACCGTATCGAACGCGATCGAATTACGCGGAACAAAATGTGTCTGGGCAAACGAACTCGAATAGTAGTACACCTTTCTACACGTATTTACGGTTAGTTTTATTCGATATAATATATCATACATGTGTATGTGTTTGTGTGCGTATGTATGTGTATATAGTTACGAGAACACTACCTCTCTTTCTAAATATATACATATATATATATATATATATATATATATATATGTAATCTACTTTCAACCATATATATGTGTATATATATATATATATATATATATATATATTTATTTATTTATTTATGTAGACACATATAAAACTGTGATGCTTTTCTTCGCGATATATAGTAGCTCTCCGATAATAATACTCTCGGTTTTAATAATTTCCGATTTGAAAGTTATTACGAGTAACTATAAAAATAAAATCTCTCGTTTCGTTTCGTTTCGTTTCATTTCGTTCCGTTTCGTTTCGTTTCGTTTCGATCCGTCTCGGAGAAAACGTGCGCAGTAGTAGTAGTAGTAGCCTGGCAAAAAGTAAAAAAAAAAAAAAAAAAAAAAAAAAAAAAACGTTTCGTTGCTTCACGAAGAAAACGAGCGCTCTTAGTATCTCCTTCCATACCCCCTCTACCCTCCCTCTTCTTCTCCTTCTATCCGTTACCCCATCAAGTACAATTTTTCTATCAGCCAAACATACCTTTTGTGCATCGCTTCTGTCGTAGGTAGTAAATTCTTAGTACGCGTAATCAGTGTCAACTTGTTATATACATACATATACATCTACATATATATATATATACACACACACACATGAACACGTATACACAAAGGACACGTATCTGTAACTTTCTAGCAACAGTTCAAAGAAACCATACGCCATGCCTCTCTCATATTTTCTCTATGCCGTAATATCCGTCTTAATTACATGCATCTCTCTATTTTCCATGTCTCTCTTTTACATCTCTTATCATATATATATATATATATATATATATATATATATATATATATATATATACGCATATACATATATACATACATACATATGCATACACACGTCCACACGTATATATTAAACATACAAATTTGCGCACATACACACATACATATACATATATATATATACATATATATATATATATATATATATATATATATATGTATATATGTATAAACAGTTTCAGGCACGCTCTCTTCTCTCATACGTCGCCTGTGTACGTGTGTGTCTCGTTAATCGTTGCATTCATGTATTCGTTCTCTTTTCTAACGCCCTTTTCAGCTTGTCAAAAGCCGTGCACTCTAATACGCGTACTCAAGCCCAAGTGCGTTCTTTCGTGTCGCTGGGTATACTCGAATGAAACAGGAAGGAGCGCACCGTTCTCTATGTATCAAGCAAAACTGACACTCGTGACGTGCTTTATATTGTGTTTTCGCTTCCCGACTTGCAGACGAGCCACGACACGCTAAGATATCGAATATGTACCGCATATAATCCGCCGTTATCTCTAACGCCTGACACGCTTTCTATATGAATATAACGTTCCCAACGATAAGTAGAAGCATGAACTTTTTAACTCTTTTTTTGAAAAAAAAAAAAAAAAAAAAAAAAAAAATATTTCCCTTCAACAAGATGACATAGGAACGATCGAACGTGACAACTTCATTATATATATATATATATATATATATATATATATATATATATTTATATGTGTATATATATATATATATATTGATATGTATTGTATGTTATATTCAGGTATTTACAATACATATTATTAAAATTTTTAATTTATTTATCTGTAACATCCTCTTGTGTTCGATCGTCTCCGTGCTTGGAATTAGAAACGAAGAAAAAAAAAAAAATAGAAACGATTGAGAAAAAGTATGAAAAAAGAAAAAAAAAAGACAAGGATAGAAACGAACAAACAAACGTAACAACGATGCATGCGCTGTGTTTTTTCCTATAATAAAACGTGCGAATTAATCCGTTTGATTAGAAATATTACCGTAGGATGCTCGAGGAAAGCGTCCATCGTAATTATATCTCCCTTCTTTATTACCTTCGATAGTCATATCCTGAAAAAAAAAAAATATCCGTGTCCTCTATGACCTTATTGGGCGGGGCGAGGGTACACCGAATACAGCGAGCAGTGCCACTTTGACAGATCTCAACACGGTATTTAGTTCCATGTAGAGTAGTTAATTAGTATCAATGCTTTCTGGTCGCTGATAAGATAACGTATTAAAATATGGTTTGTCTTAGGAAATTTTTGTACGTTTTTTCTCTCTCTTACTCTTTTTTTTTTTTTTTTTTCTTTTTGTATTTCTCTCATATTTTTCCTCTTTCTCCTGCTTTTTTTTTTCAATCAATATAACATAACCTTCGTTGATTCATAAATGTTCAATATCATGGTAAAGATGTTTTTGATTAAAAATTGCAATTGCATTTTGTAAACAGATTCCCGACAAACCCGAATGAATTAGAATGACATGTATCATCGCCAGAAAGAAATAAAAACATATGAGGTTGGCTCTATTTTTTACGCCTCCCCGTAACAGACCCACAGTCCATAAAACGGGGCGCTCTTTGCATCACTTGATCCAATTGCCAGCTAAATATTGCTCTTCTTCATTTCATTATCTCTGTTTCTTTATACTCTCTTATACTATTTCACTATCTCTCTGTTACTATATTTCTTCCACAATTTCCGTATCCCACAAAATTCGCCGTTTCCCTTACAACCGGGCGTCCTTTCAAGACGCAACTACTTTTCTACCATTTTCTCTGTTTCTATCTATTTATCTTTCTTACTCTCGCTCTCTCTCTCTATCTCTCTCTCTCTCTCTCTCTCTCTCTCTCTATCTCTCTCTCTCTCTCTCTCTCTCTCTGTCTCTCTACTTCTCTATTTCTCTTTTTCTGTATAAATCCATCTTGTATATAAAATAATGGCGCAAACCTGCCTGTAAATTCCTGCCACAAGTTTTGGCACAAGCTATGGCTGACAACGTACGAACGCCTAGCATTAGCTCCTTGGCAGTAATGCGTCCTCGTGAATACACCCAAATATATATGTATATATATATATATATATATATATATATATGTGTGTGTATATGTATGTGTGTATGTCTCTGTGTGTTTGTATATGTATCGCTTTTCTTCTCCAATTCAAGCTCGTTCCGACGATCTATGGCATAAGCGAGGGCCAACGTTTTCTCGTTGCCCAAAAACGTTATCCAAGAACACGAACTTTGAATTTCCGACAACGCGAAAGACATTCTCTATAAATTTAGATACATACATATCCCTACGAAGTATGGGGAGCGTTAAGAATAAGTGTACTCGCGAGGACGCTAATGCCAAAGTAGAGTGATTCGAGATAGCCTCATATATTATTAGCAATTTCCAACGTCATTCTTATCGTACATCCCAGTCAGCCGGTAACTTGTAATTCTTTGCCAATGATCTAAAAGAAAATCATCATATTAGTTCAATAGGTCCAATAATCCTGATCTAGTTATGTTTTTCTTCCTCCTCGTAGTTCGTGTTCATTATGAATCTTTGCTCCGATTGTCGTTCCTTCGTCGTTTTTATGAAAGAAAAGAAAAGAAAAGAAAAAAAAAAAAAAAAAAAAAAAAAAAAAAAAAAAAAAAAAAAAAGAAAAAGAAAAAAAATAAAATAAAAAGAATAGATATTATTCATTCCGAAAAAGAAAAACAAAACAAAAAAAGGAAAACGACGAATCTCAATCCAAAAATAAACCTAAAAAAAAGATCCTATGGTCCAATGATATTATCGCCAAATATCCAAACATTTTCCAGAGCTGCCCCGGAGTCTTTACGCCCCACCCTGTCCCACCTTAATCTATCTTACCCCAACCTTACTTAACTCCGTCAACCAACCAACCAACCAACCAACCAACTGACCCCCTACGTTGACCCTAGCCCCCTCTGCCCTCATAGATAGAGTGCCATGCCATGCGTGTTCGCTCTTGCTGTAG